GCCGAGCGCTGGTGCGGGCTGTGGTGCTGGTGCTGGGTGCTGTGAGCTGGCTACGCGCGTGGTGGAGACACGGTGCCGGTGCTGGGCGCTGGCAGTGCGCATGGTAAAGACAGTGGGCGCCGGTGCCGGTGCTGGCAGTATGTGTGGTGGTAATTGGTGGCTATGCGCGTGGTGGAGACAGGGTGCCGGGTGTGGGTGCTTGGCGCTATACCGGTGGGTGCTGGTGCTGGGCGCCGTAAGCTGGCGCGCCGGTGTTCGGTGCTGGTGCCCGCTTCTGACAGTCAAGTGATAACAACCGCCATTTCTGTCAGTGAAGGGTAATAAACCGCCGCTTGCAGCAATGAAGGGCGACCAAGCGCCGCTTCTGACAATGAAGTGCAAGTACTCATGGGCTGCATGAACTTATGCACGCAACATCATATGGTGTTGTCGCTTGAGAGTTCTTTGTCTATTAGCGCTGTGGGGTATTTACATCCTTCAGGTTCTGTTTTGGCCGACAGCTGTGTCAAGGGCTGTATTGTTTGCGCGCATACTTTTGTACGTATAATTTTCTATGCGTCGGGCTCTCAACCGACCATTATACCAGCATGTTTCAACATGCTACACACACAATAGTCGTGCTGGATACTGCTTGGCCTTGGGCGAATGAAGCCTACGGGCTTTGCCGATCGTGCGCGTACTTTTGTGCGCATAAACTTGTACGCGCAAGATCATACGGCCTTATCGTTCTGCAGGTCGTTGCTTCAAGCATGCTACAAAGTCAATAGTGGCGCTGGCTGCTGCCTGGCCTTGGGCCAATGACACTTACGGGCTTTGCTGTTTGCGCGCGTGCTTTTGTGCGCCTAAACATATACGTGCAAGATCATACGTTATTATTCCCCAAGTAGGGATAGTTATGGGGCTCTTGCTGCAAATAAGAATGAGCTGGCTGCGCGCTTTCAAAAGGGTGTCGGTGCTGGTGTTGTGGTCCTGGGTGCTGGTGCTATGAGCTGGCTGAGCGCGCGTTTAAGACGGGCCGCGGCGCTGGCCGGGTGCTGGTGTCAGCTGATTGTGCGAGGTGTCGTAAGCTGGCTGCGCAGGCTGCGTGCATTCTTGTTCCAGCCAATCGCATATCAACAGGTCGTGGGATTCTGCCTAGCTATCTGGGTCTATGCTACGGTTTTTTTTATTTTATTTAGCTTATTGCTTAGGTAGGGAGCACCGGGCCGGATATTTAGGATGGGGGGGATCTTAGGGGTAGATTAGGTCTTAGGATAGGGGGGGTCTTAGGGATAATCTAGATTTTTGGATGGGGGGGTCTTAGGGTAGCTTAGGCCTTAGGATAGGAGGGAAATTAGGGTTAATCTAGGCTCTAGCATAGGGGGTCTTTGGGATAGTGTAGGTTAACATAGGCCTTTAGGATTCCTTGTTTTGCTCGTTGCTAGCCTTGCACTTAACAAAGGGAGAAAAACAAATCTCTCATTTTTGATATATTTAAATATCCCTATGAATTTGGGATATTTGGCTAGAATCCCCTAACATAGGACGCCCCGTAAAGTCACAATTTTCTATCTTTAGGACCCGTTGTGATTCGGTAGGGCATGGAATAAATACGTGGTCTTTAGTATCATCCATACAAAATTATAGCAATAATATTGATATTGAATATTTATTTATCCATTTAAACAAGGATATGATTCTTTAGAATATATAAAAGATCAAATCTCTGACTACGACTTTCATGCTCCGTGGTGCTACTCGTGCCCAGCACTAAGGTCAGATAGGATCGGAATGAGCCATGGTAGCTACCTCGTTTGTGGC